GATGTGGCTAATCTTGAGAGGGTCCAGAGGAGGGTCACTCACATGGTTAGGGGGCAGCAGGCCCTATGAAGACAGACTAAAGGGCCTGAATCTATTCAGCCTCCACAAGAGACTGAGAGGGGATCTGGTGGCCGTTTATAAACTCACCAGGGGGGACCAGTGGAATAATAATACCACAAATTGATTGAGAGCAGGTTCAGGTTTGATATCAGGAGGCATTACTTTACAGTTAGGGCTGCCAGGCTCTGGAATGGGTTCGCAAGGGAGGCAGTACTCTCCTCTACCTTGGGAGTCTTCAAGAGAAGGTTGGATAGATATCTGGCTGGGTTATTATGATCCCAGCACTCATTCCTGCCCAGGGCAGGGGGTTGGACTCGATGATCTGTTCAGGTCCCTTCCAACCCTAGAAACTATGAAACTAAGCTGGCGCTTCCCTTGAGACCCACGGTTCTCCACCCAGTCTCTGCTGGCTGGGTCTTTCCTTACAGCAGGTAATTGTCCCCTTCTCTGGACTCCAAATGTTCACGCCTTAAAGCAGCCCCACCGCCTTTCTTTCCATTGCCTCCTGTTCTCTGTAACAGGGCTAAGATCCCCTGTTATACAAGGAATAATCCTCTTTAAACTAAATGTATAAATTAAAAAAGAATGAAAACCTCAGCCAACCAACCACTAATTCTGCTAAAAGTCACCCACAGCATTTCACCCAAAAATCCTTCAAGTGAATACAAGGAAAAAAAATAAAGAGGTAAATCCTGTGCACTACAATATTCATTCTGTGACCATGATAAACATACAGCATTAGAAGTTACTAATAATTTCAGTTGCTATGCTGAATAATCTAAGCAATCCATCTACTACTTAACACAGAAGGGAAAAATGAAAAGACCTTCATTGAAATGTGGTCACAAATTCCATCCAAACGACTTTTCCTGCAATTAAGTTACATTTACTGATCCACTACTCCTTAAAAGAAGCATTAACACAAAGACTTCAATTATTCATGGTCAAACAAAGTTGATTCTATTGCTGCAATCAAAGCAGTATTCTCTTTTGCAGAAGTTATTTCCTTAGTTTCAAAAAGAACACATACAATCTATGCAAGCATATAAGGCTCTAAATTGGCATTTCCATGATCAATCTCTAATTTCCTATATCTAATATTTTAGCTATTCTAAACTGCATGGGACGAAACTTTGATTCCTCTTTTCCTTCTTACAAAATGCAAGTTGGTTAACAGTGTCTGAATCATTTGGATCCAGCTGCTGCAGCTTCATTTTTGTGCCAACTTCTTAAGCAAAAAGGCTACATTAAGAAGAAAATGTAGCCCTTTAAGGCCCTATTTTTGCCTCCTGTGGAAAAGAAAAATTGGACAAGAACTCTTCAAAATGACCCTTGTGGAGTTTCCTTCTCATTCTTTTAGCAAAGCATTTAGGAGAACTGATGAGGAAGCAAATAATGTAGGTCTGCAAACCCACTGTATCTGAGGATCTAGAGGGAACTCTGTTTCTATATTTTAAGAGCCTCCGAAGTATGCCCCTAAGGGAACTCTGTTTCTATATTTTAAGAGCCTCATAAGTATGCCCCTCCCCTTCCACAATTCCCTGCTGCCATTCACATCCTTTTCCAGCTCAGTTCCTTCAAGAGTTAGGACCCTGTACTGTGCTTGTTGCTGACCAGCTTCAGTCTGAAACACCTCCTTACAACTGCCTTATTGAGCTGTGGAAATATGCATTTTAAAGGTCAAGAGTTCCCAACCAATCCTGGGAATTTAAGAAGGGGATAACATTGCCCAAAGACACCATGCAAAACATGATCTTCCTGAGGTACTTGTTTCATTTTCAAAGGTCACGAATGAGACATATCATTTAAATTCTATGCTAGAAGTAAATACATGAAATAAATTCCTTAACATGGAAAAGTTATGGCACCCATTCTATTAATTCTAACAGGGAAACAAACGGAACCCTCAATAGACCTTCGCATGAGAGGGATCCTTGAATAGGAAAGAAGGACACCATACACTCAAATTATTGGAAATAGCCTTCCTCCAATTATGAAAATACAGCAAACTGATAAATGATTTCAGGTCCTAAAAACAGAACGAAAGTAGAAAAGCTTCTTGGCTGATTCCAAGCTCTCTTTGGTACCATCAAAATTGTTCTTACAAGGATGTAGCAGTTAATGAACACACACCAGGAGCAGATAAAGATGTAATTGGTCTTGCTGCTACAAGAGGGTTAGTAGAGCAAAGTAGTTGTTGTTTGTACTGGTATTGGAGATCACGTGAAAGGAAGGATACTGAAATGTGAATATTGCTTAGAAACTGGTGATATAGCAACTTCTGTCTCAAAAGATAGATAGTTTCTGGCATTTATTATTATTCATCTTCTCCAAGGTTTCATTGCAGTTTACCACTGGATGGACTGATGCCCATGAACCCAGAACTTCAGACTGCATTTCTTGATACACCATACGTACTTTAAATCCCAGATGCAAGCAAATTATGACTACTATAGTTAGCAAATAACCCATAGTTAGATGGGAGGACCTTATAAAAAGTGTATTCATATCTTCAAACAGAAAATGTGGATGATTTCATCCAAGCTCTTAAACTTTGGGCAAAAGGTAGAAAACAGAAAAAGAGCATTTAATTCCTATGAAGACATTGCCTGCTTTAAAAGTGCTTCCTTCTTTCCTTCAAATCTTCCACAAAAACTGTCAAACCCACACATTTCTAACTCTTCAAATTAAAAGAATGGTAACCTGATACATTCACGTAATGTAAAATGGGTTCATGGGGATTTTTCTTCTCTTGCTCTCTAGATTGAAAGGGAAGAGCCAAACCAAAAAGGACTATGTAGGCAAAGCTTTCTTGGATTATGGATTGTTCCCATGCATGACTGCCCCCTGGAGGTTTCACTGCTTTCATGAACTCCATGACTCAGAACATGACAAACCCTTCAACCACGAGGAACTGCAGAGGACATTTCAGGAGAGAGAATCTTGAGAGAACTCATCTGACATTATTTTCCAAGAAGAATTATCAGTGAAAATAGTGTACCGGAAATGCAATTGAACCTTTTCATCATATGGAAGGGAAAACATGTAATTAATTTCTGCTTTAGGCAATGTCAGCTTTGAATTGCCGTATTCTAGTGACATTTACCTTTTACATAAAAAGTGAGGAAGGTCTGCTCCCAGAGAATTAGTTCGAGCTTTCACGTCTAATGAAGAGGTATAAGAAATGCAGAAGTATTTAATCTAGAACAGTCTCTTCCAACTGAAAAAATGTACAAATGAATCAGGAAAATCTATGAATGGGAAGTGTACATCATCTGTATATTTTAAACACTGATTAAGGTTCCAAATTTCAAGACAGAGCTGGTTGCAGGTTTTCTGAAAAAACATGGTTTTGCATCAGAAAATGCCAATATCTCAAAATCAAAATGTTTTGCAAAAAATACCTCACTTCCAAAGATATTTTACTGGAAACCTGTATAGTTTTCTGTCTGCATGCCTGGCAGGCTGCCAGGGAGACCAGATTCTTAGGGCCTCTTAGCTCCTGGGAAACAGGAATGTTTTGGTGTTTCCTAACAAAATAATGCAGACTTTTCGTTCTATAGTTTTCTTTTTTTTCTTCTTCACTGAACTGCAAGTTAATTTTCCTAGTAATAAAAGTACCAAGGTAAAACCATCAAAATTTACACACGTCACTGAGGTAACCTTCTAAAATGTCTATCCATTCAAGAAAATATACTTCTACATTAATAAAACTGATTGTGCTCTGTAAAGGGCAAACCTTCTCCTCCCGGCCCCAAAACCCTACATTTTGACATGAGTGGCATTTCTTGTATAGCAGCTGGTAACAGGTAAAACTGCTGCCATTATTTTGAAAGAAGCTACTTAGAAACATTACCAAAATTTTAAAATTTGTAGAATCCAATTGATAATTTTCCAATAACTCATATCTTTCTAGATAACTCAGTATGGTGACAACTTAGCAGTTAAAGCAATAGACCATGAATTATTTAAATAGCAATTTAGGTATTAGGGACATACTTCCTCATGACCAGGGATCCCTAACTTTTGGGTTAAAAATAGTAACTCAAAATCCACATTTTTTCCGTGATCAAAATGAAACACCACTAATACGTACATACATAAATACATACATACGTAGTGGTATAGTAATGTTTCATTTTGATTACAGAAAAATCTGGATTTTGGGTTACTTTTTAAATCCAAAATAGGGGATTTTTTTTTTAATCAGAGAAAACCAGGATCCCTGCTAATGACAGAGAACAAATTCAATAGTGTAAAATAACATAAAAAGAAACTGGCTTATTGACCTTGGGAAACAAACATCTATAGTGAAAATACCGCTTATACATGGTAACAAAGTTCTGATTTGGGGATGTGCTTTAACCTTCTGAAAAGAAGGCAGCAGTGTTTGGCCTTCAAATGATTTATCACACAAGATATGCAGTTTTATTACATGTACAAATTTTGGCATAAAAGTGAAGAGTAAAACAAGCTTACTTTGTACAGAATTTAACTCAGCGATGAAAAAATTCCTCAGATGATACTGGAATGCTTTCCTGACCTTTTGTACTAACTAAACCTCACCTGTCTTCCTACTTGCTTTTACTGTCTAAATAATATCAGAGTTTATTTTGTTACTAGAAAATGTTTTAACTAGTTTTAATGAAGGCCTAAACTTTTGCCTTTTGAAATTGATTTCATTCTTAGGAAGTGGAAGTCTGGTACTACTTCATAACTGTTTCTTAAGATTCTAGAAACCAGAACAATTACAGGAATGAGGCATGAAACCCAGTTTCCAAGAAAAACAATATAGCAAAGCTGAAATACACATTAATTTGAATTTTCTCAATAAGAAACTCTTCAGTAGCCAGATTGTACACACATAACATGTTAGCATTTATTATTTTGAATTTAAATGTATTAATAGTAAAAACATGACTCAATTACTTTAATCTTTCCACTGGACATATTTAATAGTAATATTAAAATACACTATATAAACCACAATACAGATATAAAAAATACAGCTGAAAATGCATCATTTATTTGTGCAGCAAAGAGGACATGATTATGGTCACAGCTTCATTCTTCAAAGAAAAAATCTTAAACTAATAAATAAAATCCTTAGGAAAAAAGTTATGGTGCTGTTTTCTGTTTTAGTTTCCTGTACCAGTCAGGTGCTTCTTTATTTGTCTGTAAAATAAAGAATACTTTAGTTGTGAGGGAAAACATGAAGTCTACATAACTCTCCTTTCACCTGCCATTCATAATAGCGATATATTGTTCTATTTAAATTAATTTAAATTATTAAACTATATTCAAACCTGTATTATTAGTGTATTTGGCATAACGGCCTCTATATCTAAGTTGTTAAAATAAAGTTTCATGTTATGACCCAAATTATTGAATTATGTTTAAAAAATCTTTATCAAGATGAAAAAGACGTGTGAACTCCACAGTTGAGGAATTAGTATTGTAATGCCACCTCATTTTCAATTTAAAAAGGGGATGGTAACTTAGTACAAAGTGGTATGCCACAATTTGCAAATGGGAATACAGAATTTTAAAAATTAAAGAAGAACAAGGTTTTTCCAACATTCCAGTAGCATCAAGTACATTTAATTGTTGGAGATGTCTGTGAATTAGCTTCCCTCACACTCTCAGTCTTGTGGGTTTACCTGTCACCCATTCATGACTGCTTAATATTCCTGTGGCAACTTCAGCAATTGCTTGCACAGACAATTAATACAAAGGAAGTGGGAGAGGTACAAGTAATGAATCATCCCCTCTTCAACTGAACTAGCAAGGACTTCATCCCACCAACACAGATCTAGAGAACAAACAGTGGTATGGATACAGACCCTTCAAAGGCAGAAAAGAATCTGCTCTCTGTCCCTGATGCTCCCAAGCTCCAGGGCAGAACATTTTCAACATATAAGGGATAAATATAATTACTACTAAGAAAATCTCTCTTAAATCAACCTCATGGCCTCAACAGGATAGAGGCATGTGTTAGGTTTCTTACAAAATTCATTTAGGATTTAATACTTGTTAAAGAATTCCTGTAAGGGAAATCATTAGGTAACAATGATTTGTTCCAGCCAAAGAAATGGGAGACAATATTGAAACAGCATGTACTTTCATTCCAGCTGTTAATTATATGGCTTGTAAATTTAATCAGAAATGAAATACTTAGAAAATAAATATTAAGACTGGTAGGAAAACACACTTACTGCTGCTACAGCTCAATTTATGAAACTCCACCCCCACCTTTCCACCAAGGAAAAAAGTCTCTTAATCTGTCCAATACTTCTCAGAAAATGGGACAATAATTTAAGGCAATGAACTGGGAGTTAAGACTTCTGTATGCTGTTCCCAGCTCTCTGAAAGAAACAGTAAAAGTGTGCAAACCACTTATCTTTGGTGCCTCTATTTATCTAGCTGAAAATGGGGTGAATGGCTATCTCCAAGGGCTGCTGTGAGGTTTCATGTGAAATATATTAATCAATTTGAATGAAAAGGCACTACAGAAAATGTAAGGATTCATTATGCCCTGATAATATTTCTCTTCCGTTCTCTTCCCCGAGCTATTTCATTTTTACCTCAATGAGTGGGATCATAAATCTTTTAGAAGCTATAAAATGATGTAAGTTGAGGTAGATCTCACTCACTTTTGTGCTTAAGAGTCTAATACAATATGTATGGGCCTCAGCCTATCTGGAAATATCACCCTAAAGATACAATTGTTCCTAAAGATCACAGGATCTAGGAAAGCAGAGCTGGAAGGGACCTCACTTATAACTGAGAAACTGCCTAAGTCTGTCTTTGAAGCTGAAGCTTGCACTGGGTTGAATAAATGAGTATTGTGACTCAACGTCTGCTGCCCTTGAAATAAATCCTCCACGCTCACCAGTCCATTTCATGTTAAAATGGTCCATTATCACCTCTCAAGATCAATTCTTTGAGATGTGCTAGCAGTGCAACACCTTTGGTACATCCACATATAAAACTATTATTGTGTTATTTGCATTACCACAGTGCCTAGCAGTTCCAGTCACAGAACAGCCTCAGATCAAAACGACAGCCCCTGCTTCTGCAAGTTTACAATCTTAGCATAAGATAAGAGAACACATATGGTAAAGCAAGGAGAGCACACGGAAAGATGAGATAATATAGGTCAGTATGACAGGCAAGCATCTTAGCACTTCAGTTGCCTAATGGCTGTCAAATTCTTGTAAGCATCAAGGCAAAGGAAGGATTTGAGGAGGTTTTAGAGATGTTTACAGGGAGTTCCTCGTGCGAGTGATACCGACCTCTTGCAAGAGGAGATGGGAATACCTCCCAAACAGAATTTTTTTTAAATAGTTTTATATAGAAAAAATATTTTAAGGTTTTACATTTAATACTAAACTGCTAATCTATATCTTAGCCACCCAAACTAAGGGAGAAGAACCCAGCCAGCCTGCAGACCCTAAAGAGCTGCAAGCCTCCCTGGGCAGGCGTTACCTTAAGGTGATGCTGAAGGACAATGTTTAGCAGAGTGATGGAGGGTCTTTTGATTGTTACCCTTTTATGATTATTATTTTATTTCAATTTTGTGTTTGTTGGTAAGAGGTGGAAAATTTGTGGGTTTTGGGGGAAAGCCATAGACACTTGGTAGGAGAGAGGGGTGTGGGCTTGTGAGGGAGGAGGCAGGCATCTATTCTGGATGTGAAGCAAGGGAGTGGGAATGGGTGGGCAGGTGGCAAGGGGAGATTAGGAAGAGGTTTCCGTATGCAGAGTGTGGGCCGGGAAGCTTAGCTGGGATGGGCCAGAGGATTCGCTCTCCTCGGTAATAGGCAGGGAAGCTGGAGTTGAGGAGGTGGAGGAGTTTTAGTTTTAGGGTGTTGACTGGGGAGTCTGCTGTTCCTTATCTTGTGGACTAGTTGTCTGTTACTACTGAGCCAGTGGTGCTCAACTAACAACCTGTGGACCAGATCTGGTCACTGACGTGACTGGATCCAGCCAGCATGAGGGACCAGTGCTGCTCTGGGGTAGGAGCTCAGGACTGGACTGCAGGAATGGAGGGGGAAGTGCTGTGCAGAACATGGAAAGAGCACTAGAGGCTGCCAGAGGCCTGCTAAGGTGCCCAGTTAAGGATGCTGGGGCTGGAGGGCGCTCAGCACTGATCTGGGGCATGTGCTCCTTGTGTGTCCCAAGTGAGCCTGGCCCATTTCTTCCTCTCTGAGTCCAGGGTCACTAAGTGATCCTGGTGTTTACACCAGCTCCATCTCTGCTTGGCACACGGGGGTTGGGTTTCCTGGGCCACTGCTGCTCTGTCCCCTTGTGGAGGTGACCTGGGAGCTGCTGCCAACACTACTTGGGACAGCTCTATGCTGGGGGAGACTGTCATTAATGGCTCTGCTACATGTGTCACAGGGCAGAGACTGGGGGTGCTGCAGGCTCTGACCAGTGTCCTTGGGCTCTGATAAGCCTGAATCCAGAGGCTGCAGGTAATGGGGGACTCTGCAGAATGGCTAGGAGCCAGCTCCCTTGACCTCACCTCCATAACCAAGGCAGTAGCTGCCAAAAACCCAGCCCAGCTAAACAACTTGGAACAGGCCACCTCCCTCCTGCCCTCCTCACCTGGAGGAGAGTGGTGACCCATGGTGTAGCTGAGCAGCAAGTACCTGGTCCCCTGCTCTCAAATGTTGAACACCATTGCAATAAGCTGCTTTCAGATTTTCTGGATAGGACAGAATCTAAGTCTAAAGAACAAAAACAGTAACACCGCTCCCACCAACATAATAATAGTAATGATAATATTTTTTAAAAACTCTTAATTACTAAGCAGCTTTAGACCTAGAAGGGTTCAAGTTTCTGGTGTGGCAATGTGAGATCAACAGAGGGAGCGGAATGAGAATCTTGTCTGATTATTTCTTCAGAAAGACAAACATGCACATTCATACATATAAAAGCAGGGAGGGTTTTTTTAAATAAGAAGAATAACACTATGAACAAAAGGCCTAGATCACTTATTTAATTTATTGTACTTACAAATAATGTTGGTTTGGGCATAAATACGTTTTCTTCCCCATGTTCTGATGGCAACTTTACAGGAGAGTTTGATTTGTGCTTTGCAGTTGAACTTTTTACATTGTTATGGAACTGAGGGAAATTCTCCCCGTAGTGTTTACCATGCAGACTAATAAGAACTTGCTTCATTACTGCTAATTCCTGTAGAAAGATTAAAAAACAATGCTAAGTTATTCAATAAGACTACAGTAACCTACTAAAATGATTACCTATTAATGCATTTCTGTTCACCAAACCAAAATTGATGGATCGCTAACTCTATAATCAGTTAAACAGTTTACTAATTAGGAACTACTAAAAAGAGCAATAAGGTAAAAAGTCACAGAAGATTTATACAAATAGAATATCATAATGTCTAAGTGGCACAAGAGAAAGTATTTACAGTGCATTAAGGATCTCACTTATCTCTTTTTTCATTTAAGCTGCCATTTAATTTAAAACAATTCTTTTAGAGATACTTTTTGTAAAGCAAAGAGACTTACAGAATCCAATTTGAAGGGCTAAGACAAGTTGTGCTCAGAGGGTTAGAGTACATGTCTTCTAAATGCAGATATAAAAAATCCCCACCAAACAAACATATGTCTTTAGACAAAACAATCAACTGATAAAAGCAGCTTAGGACAGACTAAAGCAAAAAGCAGGAACAGGATCATGATCTGTGGAATGAAAAAGTAACAACTGAAAAAAAGAAACAGTGAAATGTAGAAACGAAGGGAATATAGCAGTAAGAAGGATGCATATTGACCTAGATATTTTAATACACTGCTAAGTAAGCAATTTGTAAAAATTAAAAACACCATTCTTACGTAACTGAAGAAACAGATTTTTTAAGACACACAGTAAACTCTAATCTGTTACTCTCTTTGGCTGTCTCCTTGCATCTCCCGTTTCCTGTTAATACTTCTTCGTTTTTAATGGATGCAATTATAATACGTTTGATAATTTTTTTCTTCTAAAATGGTCCTTCAGCACCTGTTTTGCACTCCATCTTGTTACTATTTGTGAATTATTATGGCTGACCAGAACTGCGAAGTCAGTGAAACTATCATTCAGAAGACAGCTCAAAACAATCTTACATATTTTTTTAACTCATAAGGTTTTATTTTTGTAATTATTGTTTTCAATAATTTCAACAGCAGCATTTTTAATGCTTACATGCATCTAATCACTTAGCCAAAACAATGTAATTGATGTTTACAGCTGAGCGCCAAAAACAAGCGACACAGTTATTATAGGTTATAAACGATTACTTCTTAATACAGCACTCTTTATTTAATTAATAAACTGGCACTAACTAACTCAGTTATATGAATGAAACCCCACTACTATACAGACCAAACAACTTCATGCAGTGTACAAACTGTTCTTGTGTCTAGGTCATTTAATATTAACTATTTGCATAATTCAGCCATGTGTGGTGGCATGTTAAAACAGCTCAACTGCAGAGCAGCTGTTTAAAAGGACTGCATAGTGGATGCCAGCATGTTGTTGAAAGTTGTAAACTCTGCAAAGATGTTGCCAAAGTGATACATAGACAGAATTTCTTGATGAAAATAACTCAGGCAAGTATATTACAAATACATGCTCCAGCACTGGAGATTTAAGTCACACGTAAGCAATGTTTTGACATTAGCAAGTGGTATTCATATAACTAAATCTTGAATTGGATTATGTGGATAAAAATGTTACAGTGTTTGACGTTGAGCCTAAAAACAGGGCAAAATCTAAGAATTTTCACTCAGATTTGATGAAGAGTTTAGTTTCAGACTCAAACTAGTTCAAGTCCAACAAACACTTATATGACTAAGTAGCTTAAAGTTTTGCTTTGGAAATCCTTACTGGGAGGCAAAACTGGCAGGACGGAAGTCTGTGTGGTTTCCTGAGTTGGGATGTTAGCTCTGGAGTTTTACACAGCTCTGAGCATCCACCTTGGTAGTGGAATACTTAGATGGACAAATGTGGCTAGAATTGTGATGTGACTGCTTTGCACAACACAAATGATGTGAAGAAACCAGACTGGAGTTGAGAATTTTTTCAGTTAGGGTGGCCAAAATCTGGAACCAACTTCCCAGGGAAGTGGTCCTCGCCCCTACCTTGGGCAAATTCAAGAGGAGGTTGGATGATCACCTGTCTGGGGTCTTGTGAACCCAGTATTTATTCCTGCCGGTGGTAGGGGGTCAGGCTAGATGATCTGTTCAGGTCCTTCCTGACCCTAGCTACTATGAAACTATGAAACTATTTGTCCTACAATTTACATATTAACTTAGAATAGCATCCAAATTTATTATGGGAGCATAGCTAAGATAACACTAACATCTACCCACAAAATTGGACTATATAATCCCTCTGTTTGAAACCTTAATGCTTACCAGAGCACCCCAAGGGATGACAAGATCGAACGGTCACAAACTCCACTGTGACCGATTCAGGCTGGACATAAGAAAGAACTTCTTCATTGTCCCAGCCCCCAAGGTTTGGAATAGACTGCCGCCGGAGGTGGTTCAAGCACCCACTTGAATGCCTTCATGACTCATTTGGATGCTTATCTTGCTGGGATCCTATGATCCTGCTGACTTCCTGCCCCTGGGGCAGAAGGCTGGATTTGATGATCCTCCGGGGTCCCTTCCAGCCCAAATGTCTATGAAATTTATGAAAGCTATGAAATTTAGCCTGAAAAGTCCCCCAGTGAGAAAGATTCTTCTCCTAAATCTGTTACTTGATGGTCATACAGTCATAGAGAAGTAGGGCTGGAAAGGACGTCAGAGCCTAACCCCTGCCTGAGGCAGAATCATCCCTATCTCACCCATCCCATACAACCATAATCTAAACTCTACATGACTACCCTTAACCCTGACACAACACAGACCTAACACCTAACTTCTCACAGGTAAAGAAGGGGTACCACAGCAGCTAATGTCCTGCTTCTATAAAATGTTGTCAATATACATGCAAGATCCCGGGCAGAGGACCACACCCCCTGCTATAGAGGAAGGCAAAAGCCCTGACAGGTCCATACCAATCTGATCATGGGGTAAAATTCCTTCCTGATCCCAAATATAGTGATTGGTCTGACCCTGCTAACTCTGTTGATTTCACTGGAGATTATTTTTGTTTCCATTGGTATAACTAAAGTGTCTGATTTTTGGCCCATTAACTTTTCAGAAGATTTACCTTTTCTGAGAAAATGTCTGTTCTGGAAATGTGGCAGGATCACCTATCTTTCCTTGCATTCATGTACTTTAAATAAAGAATTCTGAAATCCAAAACCATACAACCTGATATCTTGGTCTTAAGAAAATCTTTGAATTTTAAACTTAAAGGGTGTGGACAGACATAACATTTGAACCACTGACCTGATTGGGAACCATTTCACAATTGTCCCTGGACAGAAATATCCAAACATACAGTGCTAGGGGTTCTCAGTAGAACTCACAATTTGAAAGGACTGAACTGCTGCTAAAATGCCACTAATGGTTGGTAGGGTACTTAGGCCAACATGCGTTCCAGGGAACAGTACCCAGAATTGCCCAGGGATTCCTTTAGAAGAGAAGGATGACCTGCAGGGTTTTGGAGTTGAGCGTTTGCCTGATCCTGGGAGTCTGTGTGTATCCCTGCTTGTGGTTCTCAGGGGCTGGGTGCTCTCTGGTGGACCCCCAAGAATTCCTCAGCTTTTCCAACCATTCAAGTACCTTGCATTTTCAGCAGCTGCATAGAGATATGTCTAACCTGCTAGGCAGGGTTGGCCACAAGGTCTGCTTATTGCAGAGATCCTAGGATGCCTGCAAAAGCATCAGAGGGCTAGAGAGAGAGGCTTGTGGCTCAAAAAAAAGAGCAGGATTATGTGGGACATGGGAGAGGATGAGCAGGGCCTTGAAGAGAAAGAAAGGGGCATTAACAATTAATAGTTAATGGGCTAATTCAATTCATATTGAGCAAGGAATTGATAGCTATTCTGTTCTATTAAGTGCCCATAGTGTAATGGCTGTTCCCCCCCAATAACTACCCAGCAATTAACAGGTGTTTATCATGACAGGCACAACCACCCACCCACCCACCCACCACAAGCAGGAGGCTATGAAGATCCTCCCTACTTCCTTCAGAACCGGGCTACCCTCCCACCCCAAATAAGGACCCCTAACAGGGAACTGAAACTGCCACAGGAGCTTTCTGCTTCCCCACCCCTGCTGACTGTGGTCTCCATAGACAATTAAACTGTGGGCAGTACAGTCCTGGTTGCATTCCAGAGCAGCCCCATTGCCTTGCATGGGTTTGAAGGGGTGAGGAGTGGTGCAGTTTGTGATACCTGGAGGACCAACGAGGCACTAGGCACTATGTCTGCACATAACACAGAACTGGTTCAAGGAGAGCTGGCTCAGAATAGTATTTGATTTTCTTGGTGTGATTTTGAAATGTCCCAGGAAGTTTAAATCAGTTGAAAGTGGCTTGTGCATCTCTTGGGGTATATAGAACATCTAAATACACTTTAAGTGTTATGTCTGTCCACATCCAAAGAATTAATTCTTTTTAATTTAGATTGACCGATACAGACTCTGGTCCTTGTTACATGTTGCACTTTGAGCTGCTCAAATGTTGATCAGTGTTAGTGCTAGCTTGAGTTTGGAGGAGTCACACTTAAGGCTAAAAACCTTCTCTGACTGTCTCTGACTTGCACAGCTGTGACTTGCCACTAGAAGGCTGGCAAGCAGGGGCCTCACTAGGAGCTACAGCTGTGAGTTGCCACTACAGGGCTGGTGAGCCAGAACAGGCTTCTATCCCTGCTCTAGGTAGCGAGGGGTGAGAAATGGGTTGCAGGGGGTGGTGGTGGCAGGGTTAGGACAAGGGGACAGAACTATGAAGCTGGGAGGCAGAGAGTTAATAGGGTGGGGGTGGGTAACAAAATGGCAGGTGGAAAGGAAATGTGGGGTGGGGGAAGGGTGACAAAATGAAAAAAGTCAGCTATTGAAGAACAAAAAATAAGAAATAAAAAAGAAGAATTTATAACAAAATAAAGAGAAGTAAATTAAAGAAGGTCTCATGTTTTAATAAATTGGTATTTGGGATTGGGATGCGGGGGGGGAGGGGAGGCAGGAGTGCTGAGGGCAGGTAAATTTGGGGGAGCTACTGCCCTTGCCCCAGGAAGG